AGGCATCACAAGACTAAAACCTGACTCACACAAGGAGGTGGGGGTAGAGGACTTAACATGACTATTAACCCAGCTATAGAAAGGAAGATCCTTAGGCGCCAGTGCCTTATCACAAGGCATAAGACCCAAGCAGGTATCAGTCTACTGTAGGGAGCATTGAGAACACAGACCTGAAGGCAAAGACACAGAGATTGGGCCCGTTGTGGAATCTCCAGCCACTTTCCCACTCTGCTTCTCTTCACTGACCCCACTCAGCAGAGGCAGCTCTCCTCAAGGCCGCCAGCCTGCGACATTGCAGGCCTCTCTCTCAGCAAACCTTTCCCTTTTGGGGCAGGTCCTTCTGCCTGCTTGTGTCTATGCAAGTGTCCTTTACTCTTCTATCCCCTTTCCCTAATAAACCTGCTCTTTAACTATAACTAATGTCTCTGTCTCCTGGAGAAACTCACCTGGGAAACTCGCCACATGCCACTGAAAGGGGGGCTCTGGTGACACCCTTACCAGAGTGAACCCAAGGACCCTGCTCTCCAAAGCCATCAGCTCCAAAACCACATCAGTACTGGTGCAATTGCCCCAAGAAGGGACCCTAACTCCCCAGAGCTTGGGTAGAAGAAGGGCCTCAGGGAAATCTTGAGGGTGCACAGAACAAGACTGGGGAGAGGTGTTAGGCTGAGGGGATGGCATGAGCTAAAGTAGACAGAGCCTGATAAACTGGTCATTGGGGGAATCCAGAATGAGGGTATGGTGGGTGGCCATGTCACAGAGGGTTTTCCAAGACTGGCCTTTCTCAAGGGAAAATGGGGAGCCAATGATGGCTTATGCAGGGAGGGATAGGACCAGATATTCATTTCAGAAAGAAATGAAATGCCTTGTAGGGTCTGGGCTGGAGGGAGCAGGCACAGAGACTCTATCATCATCATCACCATCATCATCACCATCATCATCACCATCATCATCATCATCATCATCCAAGCAGGAGACAACAAGGGCAGTGCCAGTCCAGATGTACTGAGAAAGCAAGCCAGCAAGCAGAGAGCCAGGATCTGAACTCCATTCGGATCACCCTTTTCTGTCACTCCAGATGGCCACACAAATCGCCTGGGCCAGTGAACTTGGCATCTCCCACCTCAATCCACCTGCAAAACACCCTGAAATGAGGGGTTGTGGCTGACTCAACACTGTCCCCTAGTGGCTGATGTGGAGGTCAGCAAGGTCACTAGAGCTCCGAAGTCCCCAAAAGAGGAGGCTTCCCACCAAGTATGTTCCCTAAGCTCCCACATTGTCTGGACGAATGGGCCCAGGGTCACCTCTCACGGCCTTCCCTTTGCTTGACACGACAGGTCTTGCCCTGCCCTCAGCCTCCCTCTCCTCATCTGTAAACAGGGGATGACGTTTCCTGCCTTCGTGGGGCCTGGCGCACAGTAGGTGTGGAGTGGGCCTGGCACTGGCTCAACCCTCCCAGAGAAACAAAATATCCGAGCTGCTTTCTCCAGACTCTGGGACATTTCGTACTTTTCTCCCAGAAACTCAGTTCCTAGCTCTGTAGCCCTGTGTGCTCTCCTCCCAGGCAGGGGCCCACCTCCTCCGGAGACAAGAGCTGGAGCACCACTGGTAGCTCACTGGGTGCTGGCTCCACTTTTGGTCAATTAGGTTTTGCCCAAGACACTTCCCTCCTCGCTGAGCCTTGGTTTCCTGGCTTGTAAAATGGGGCTATAATTTCTGTTTTAAGGTTGCAGGTGTTTCAAGGCTGTGCAATTTGTGGGGTGATTTGGGAACTGTGAATAGTCCACAGTGGGGCCCCTCTGTCCTGGGGCCTTGGAAGGTGAGCTGAACTGAGGTTTGGGGGGCAAAAGAGCTTTTTTGGGTGCCCCCAAAACACCTTCAATGGGTGCCCCTAACTTTCTCCCTTCCCCTACCCCTTTTCCTGCCCCTTCTAGAAGACTTGCGGTCGTGGGGACTTTCAGTGAAGAGATGGGCTGGGAAGGGCAGGCCCCACCTCCATTCCTCTGGACAGGTGAGGCCAGGTTGTTCCCAACGGCCTCATTTTGAGCAACAGTTTTGATCTGTGGCCTCCTGCCAAAGTTTTGCCATTCTTTTCTAACAAACAACAGGCTGTTTTGTAACCTGCATTATAAAATGGATTTATTAACAACTAATGTGTACATAGTCGTTCACAGAGAAATAGCAAACATCAGTGAGCCATTACCCAAGAGCCCTCTGGCCTTCCTCTGGCCTCAGACACCCCACTGCTGCCCCCACCCCATTCCTCAGGGCCCAAGGCTCACCTACCCGGCCACCCCACACAGCCTTCAGTTCTCCCTTCCTTTCTTGGGCAAAGCACATCAGATCACCCATCAAGTTTCTTTCTGGATGCTCCCCCATATTCAGCTCCTGCCCCTCCAAACACGGGCGCTGATGGCAGGCCCACTTCATCACGGGCCACTGGAGACACTTCTGATTCTCTCAGGCAAGCTTCCCGCCAGCAGAGATGGCATCACTGTCCCTGGTGCCCAGGGCCTGCACTGCTTGGCTCTTGCCAGACCCTCAGCAAACAGTGATGAAGGAAGAAATAAACTCAGGCAAGTTGGCCCCACTCTGGGCTACTTCTTTTTTATTTTGTGGGGGAGGTTGTTGAAAGATATGCCCTATATAGCCCCCAAAAGTGCCCCTGCTCCTACAACCAGCTTGGACAGTCAGTGTCCACCACATTTGACTTTGTTGTTCCTGGAGGCCCCCAGGCAGCCCATATCTGTGTAATTTATCTGTGATCAGAGACTCAAAAAGCCCTTGTGGGCCTCCCCTGGTGGTGTAGGCATTTGAGCGCCATGCTGTGAAGCTGTCCACAGCCTCTGCAGTGCCGATTTGATCCTGGCCGGCTGGCGAGGGTCCCACATGGCGTGGCAGACCTCTCCTGTCATGCCCACTGCTCCCCTCAGCAGTGTATTTCGTCAGTCTGCCTGTTCTGTTCCCCGCTCTGTCTCTGGTGAATCTGCTCACCCTCCCACGCATCTGGCCTGTACCCCGGATCTTGTATAAATAAATAAATAAATCCTTAAAAAAAAAAAAAGCCCTTGCTCATGGGGTGGAGCAATCTTCGCTGCTTGCACAGAAACCAGACAAGGCAGTGTTGATGGTGGAAAATTGGCTGAGGTTGGATAGAAAGGCAAGGGTCAGAGTTCAAGTTCATGAACCCTTTGTTTTTAGGGGAGGAGCATGAAAGTGGAGTTGAGGTATTGAGAATCCATCATGACAACAAGTAGGCACAGCGAAACTTGGCACAGAGTCCTCCTAACAGGCTGGCAGTGCCCTCTGTAGCCTGCCAAGGGCAGTGGGAGGATGACTGGGGACACCTGAGTGCCTTGGAAGCTCCAGGTAAGGCTGCATCTGGGGAAGCTCCTTGGAGGTGGCCACACTGCATGGGGCTGGTGGGAGGCCTGGCCCTCTGGTGTGCAGGGGCAGCCCCGGGACACTAGGCTTTTGGTGATTTTTGCCTGACAATTTCTCTGCTTGTCAAACCACTCAAACAAACACTGCCTGCCCTGGAGTCTAGTATACTGGCTTCTGGCATTTCATTTCATTCAGTTAGTTTGCTTTTTCTAGCAGCAGACCTTGGACCAGACACTAAACCAGACCCTGTAAGCCAAAACATGATGTGGCTGCAGGGGGATGGCTGGAGGCTCCAAGGACCTCCCACGGCTCACCCGAAGACCCCCCTCATCCCTCCACCTTACCAAGCCTCATCATTGTCTTGCCTATAACAGGTTTTGGGAAATCAAGAAACCATCTACTAACCAGAGAAAATGAAACCACAGGATTTGAGAGTTGCAAAGGTGCAGGAGCCAGCTTCTTGCTTGCAGCATATCTGGATATGTTCGTCTAGGTTTCTAATCTCGGAGAAGGGCCTGGGCAGCCAGGTGCTTTGCAGGAAGGCTCCCTTTTATTGGGCTACTTTTGACCACTCACTCTGACATGACCACTCACTCTGAGTGGACAGCATTCCTGTCTTGTGGGTTGGCAGGACAGAAGGGCAAACCCTAAGGAGAACTGGGACAGGGGTTAGATGCCCAGGATCAGGGGCCGGTTGTCAGAAATACTGGTGGTCATTGCCCTGGCTAAACTAGAGGACGGGGGCAGGGACTGGAGAAGGCAGCCAGGCCACAGCCCATGGCTTCTCCGCCATCTGGAGTCAACCAGCAGAGCCACAACCAGCTCTTCAGCTTCCTTGGCTCCTTCCAAGCAAGGCCTGCTCTGTTGGGTGCAGTCCACCCTGACTGTGGGTGTGGGGACCAGGAAAGCCAGCCTTGAGAAATAGAAGCCATGGCTGGCCAGTAACTGGGTCCCACAGTAGTGGGGGGGTTGACCTTCAGCTGTCCCCTTGATGAAACACAAAGATGGAAGAAAAATTTATTGTTCTCCAAGAAGCAAGCCCGAGGCTAGAAAGTCAGAGTTTACAGTAGGTGCCCCAGCACATTCCATCCCACTCAAACCCCAGCTGAATCATTCCTTGCAAGATCACAGCGGAAGGGGGAGGGGAGGGAGGTCCCTGGGAACTCCCTGGACTCAGCCTTCACCCACTCAGCCCTGTGGAAGGCATGCAGGACTTTGTCCTCTGATTGTTATGTCTGCCAGGTCTCACTCTCCATTTCTGATTTTTCCCTCCCAAAGATGGGAAGAGCAATCCTGGAGGGGATTGGCCAGAATCAAGACACTCAGTCTCACCAAACCCTCCACTCAGCTGCCTCCAGCTGGCCCTGCCCCTCCCCCTGAGCCCCTGCTCTTCAGGCCTGAAGCTGTGCTTCCTGCATGGACTGGCGCTCATGCCCACACCCCTTATGCTGGGGTGGGCATGAGTTCTGGGGTGGGCGGGCTTGAGTTCTGGGGTGGGAAGGATACAGGGCAGCTTCTGCAGGCAAAACCCTCTCTCGGTGGATGCTGGCTCATCCTCAGGATTCTCATTCTCATTCTCTGCCAACAGGGGCTGAGGTGCCTGCCCAATCCTTGAGTGGGTGTGGCATCTGACATGTGTTCCTGCTTGGCCCCTGTGCCAGGGGGGCACACAATGAGTTGAGATCAGACTCTCTGGGTGACTCTCTGGGGTCACCTCCAGTACTCCCCTGCCTGGGAGGGCCTGGAACAGGGAGGAGGGCCCTAAAGAGTCGGTGAGCACAGGCACAGAGGCGGCAGGGGTCTTCACTGCGCGGGGGATGGTTTTGTTGCCTCAAAACTCTGAATCTTCTCCTCAGAGGCCTTGTCAGGGAGCAGCACCTCAACAGTGTAGCTGAGCTTCTTGGAAAACACCAGGCTGTAGGTATTGTCAAAGCGCAGGACATCTGCAAGGACAGAGAGCTAATCAGGCAAAAAGAACTTGACTCCTCTGCATGGCGGTAGCCTTGGGAATAGGATGGTGGGTGATGTGGAGGGTCCGCCACTGCCCAGTCCCAGGGCCATTGCTCATGACCATCTCCTTGGATGATGCTTCTGCTCACTCAAGAAATCATAATAACCACCAGCAAGCTTTAGCCTTTTCTATGTAATGGGGCATTGCATCAGCATTTCATCAGGATTCTCCCTGAGTCCTCAAAGTAACTCCAAGCAGAAGGTACTCTCATGCCCATTTTGTGGCTAAGGAAACAGGCTTAGAGAGGATGATACAACTTTATGACAATTATAGAGCAAAGGACAGAAGGGACTGAAATTCCCTTATCTCAATGTTCCAACCTAAACAGGATTTCTGCTTTCCCCCAGAGAAGGCAGAACTCCATAAGCCACTATTTCACCCTGCTTTTCACAGAAGACATGCAAAGAAAAGCATCTGTTTCAATGCTAAGGTCCATCATGAACTCCAGGGCAGGATGAGGATCCAAATTTCTCCATCTCTACCTTTCTAACTCTCCTTTCCCATGAAGATGAAACTAGGGGTGTATCAAATATTGGCAAAATTAATTTCCTTCTCTGCAGAAAATCAACCTGTTTCCCTTCCTTAGTTAGCTCTGTTCTGAGAAATCAGCTGCGTTCCTGCCTAATGCTGCTTCTGATAAAAAGCACCAAAATCCATCTGGTCTGGGTGGTCTGGGAATAAAGGACCAAGACCTAGAAGAAACCATCTGTTTGGGATCCCCAGAATAAGGTGGTTCTTGACTAGGCAGCTGGGACCCTGGCAGCTAAGCCCCTGCCTGCTTACTTAGCTCTGTCTTAGTCTACTGAGCTGGGCTAGGGGGCTTACTAGGCGCTGAACCCCTGGCCCCTGCTGTGACTCGTACTCTCTACAATGTGTCTCTGCCACGAGACCCACACTTAGGCTCCATTCATCAGATCCAAGACCCTGAAGCTAATTTCCCCAACACCCATGGAAACTAGGAGCATACACAGACCCTACATCCTCTTTGAGAGCTGGCAAAGGAGGGTAGACAGAGAAGCCAGACTGGAAAGAGATATCAACTCATTTCTCTGCCATGAGAAAGAAAAAGACTTCATGAGCAATTCTTACAGACACCAGCTTCCGCGCAGGTGAGACTTCCATCCTCGGGCACCATGTGGGCATTGTAGCGCTGGCTGGGCAGCACCTCTGTCATCTCCCCGGCATGCTGCCGCTCCCCCATTCTGGTCTTCAGGAAAACCCCAAAGCCAATGTCGGCCCCCTCTGATGCAAACTGCCACCTGCAGGGGACAGAGACTTGCTGATGACCACCTGCCTGGGCTCTGGACCCCTCCCAGCTGTGCCCAGGTGTTGAGTGGCCGCCATCCTTACCTGAGCACACAGCCTGGGAACAGGATCTCATTCTCCACCTGCACAGAAGAACCTCTGCCCACAGTCACTGTGTGTTCATATTGCACCTTCACCTGGTTGCGCACGTAGTAGCTCTTGGGCACATCACCCCCATAGTTGATCTACGAGAGAGCAGGTGAGCAGGCACCAGACCAGGGCCGGCTCCCTTCCCTCCCCATCCTCTCAGCATCCTGTACCTTGGTCAGGCACTTGGGGTTGCCATCGGGGTCAGTCATGGTTCCCCCAAAGTGCTTGGGCAGTTGGTCGGGGCTGATGAGCTTTGTCAGCTCCTGCTTCCAGTTGCCTGTGAGATCAGGGGTTCAGGGGGGCTTGACAGAGGCCAGAGGGGTGAAGCCCAAGCAGGGGACCTAATGTGTCTTGGCTTGCTCCCGTGGGTGCCTATTCCTGAAAGCACTCAAGGGCTTTATGTGGTTGCCCACCCTGTGGTCGAGAAGCTTTAAGTGTGGCCAAGGTCAGGTCTAGTCAGTGACTGAGTAAAGAAAGAAATGGGTCCTTCGGCACTGATCTCTGCTTCCCAGGCAGATGTGGAGACAGGAGGCCAACTTACCTCCCAGAATCACTATCTTCTTTCTCGTCTCCTCACTCATAAATGATTTGACCAAATTGAAGGCCACAGGGAACAGCGTGGGGGCTGAAACACACGAAACTCCCCTGGGAAGCTGGACCAGAAAACACTGAGCTCTACAAAGTCACAGCCAAGGGCATGGACAGGAATGGGACAGACCCAGATCCTGCCACTTCCTGCAGTATGGCCGCCCATTAGTTGCTCAATCTCTCTGAACCTTAGCGATGTTAAATATAAAATGAAGATTAAATTAAGCAATATAGGCACAACGCTTGACACAGTGCCTGACTTGCAATGAATAGCCGGTTCCCCTGATCCACGGGAGGATTCAGCAAAGTTGATTCTCTGGCGGTTCCCCTTCCATTCCTCACTCAAGGTTTCCCCAGATTACCCCGGTATCTTATCTTCTCAGTGCAAGTAGGTGGGGAAACTGCACTAGACCCCAAGTTGCACCTGAACTGCTGACACTTACTAGGCATTTGCTGTGGGCCAGGCTTTGTGCTATGCCTTCCCCACAGATTAATTTAACTTCACAACTGTCTTATGGGGGAGCTTCCAATGCATTTCCATTTTTCCAGAATGGGAAAAATGAGGCTCGGTCAGGTTAAATGGACTTGCTCAAAGTCACCAAGCTAGTGAAACAGGCAGCCAGGTCACCAGACCCTAGAGCACATGCAGGGCCCCTCATAGGATGACCGTCACAGATCCCAACCATCCCCACAGCAAGGGTGTCCACCAGCCAGTGTGGTTCACAGACCATCTGTTACCAGTCCACACCCAGAAAAGTAGCGAAAATAACAGTAAAAATTCAGAAACATAGCTGCAACATGCACGTGATTTTGTACATTCCAAAAAGTCGATGGAGGATAGAACTGAGCAAAACAAACACCAAACAAAACACCTGTTTGAGAAGCCCTGAACTCGGGGGCTTACCCACTGTGCCCCCCACTTCCTAGCCGTCCCTTCCCAGGACATCATCCCCAACATGGGCTCACCTCGAATGACAATTAAATTCTTCACAGTCTCAGGATAATTTGCTTCCAGGATGGTGAAAAACTGTGGAATCAAGATGAGTCTGGTTGAGGCCACGCTCCAACATCCCTATTGCTAGATTCCTATGGCCTCTGACACTGCTGAGACTACAGCCCCTTGCCCCCAACTCCCACCAACCTGGCTTCCCCAGGAGCACGCACATTGCCCCTGTGGTACCTCACTTTTCTCTCTCCTTGGAGGGAGCACCTGGGAACCGCTGGGAGTGGTACCTCTCCCATGGACCGGAAGCTGTTGTGGCCAGTGGCTCTTATTGGCCCCAAGCCAGCCACCTACCTGCTGGTAGACCTCCACAGCTGGCTTCCACAGATGTCTTAGGCTCAGCCCCTCCATGTCAAACACCATCAACATCGTCTCGACCCTCCTGCCCAGCTGCACAGGACAGAGAAGGTATTTTGTCTGGTAGGTCAACAGTTCCAGCAAGAACTTGGCCAGAGAGACCCTAGCAGCCCTCCCACCTTCCTGCCATGCCATCCCCAGCTTGCACACAGCATTTTCCAAACAGAGAGAGCCACCTAGAGTCTGAGGAAGGATTGCACCTGAACTCTGACACAGTCGACCTCTTCATGCTGTGTGCTCAACTATGGCCTGGAATTAGTGAACCACAGAATTAAGGACATCACTCATGGCTCATCGGGCATCTTTGTGTACAATAATATATCATGTCAGCCAACATCTGCGGTCCCAGGGCTGTGTTCAAGCCAGAGCTACACTGCAGACAGGCTGCGTGACCTTGGGTGGATTTTTAACCTCTCTGAGCCTTATTTTCTTCCTCTGTATAGTGGGGGTAATGCCGGGTTCAGGTGAAATCGTGAGCATTTCATGAGATAATGCACAAAGAGCCCAGGGCCTTGTATGTGGCCCAACCCTGGTAAGTATGAGCAAGTGTTAGTAGCAATATTATCAGCATCATTAGAATTATTGGTCCCAGCTGGGAACATCCATGAAGTCAAGACATTGTTTCAACTCTAAAAAATCAACCACCTGTGCCCTGCACTGTGCCAGTAGCTGGGAAAACAGACCCTGTCCCTGTCGTGTGGAGTCAGCCCTTAACCAGATCATCCCACAGGGACAAAATAGCTTCCCAAAGGGGCCTTCTTAGGCTCAGGTAGACCCACAAAATCAGGGCCTCACTTGCCATTAGATTCACACATAAGGACAGAGACCAAGGCACAGGGGTAGGGACATGGACAGCTGCAAAAGTGGGCGTGGGCCCTTCTTGACTTCGGAGCCCATGCCCCACAGGACTCAATAATTTTTTGTAGCAATTTCTAGTAGCTTCTAGGGATCCATAAAGGATGTGCCCAGTTCCAAAGATCACTGTTCTCAGGGATACCCAAAGCAATGATTCCCCCATCAGGCATTTATAGTTATGCGATTGATAATCAGGGGACATCTTTTCCATAAGCAAAGAAGACTGTCCACTGTCCCCAGGGCTCCCAGCGAACAGAGCTGGAGCATTCATTGCACCCAAGGTCAGCAACGCACCCAACGTCGAGGGGAAAGAACTGCTCACCCAGCAGAGTGTCATGTTCATGGCTGATGTTCATGCACGAAGCCACATCCCGGCAGGACTCAGGGTGCTGAGGACCAGGGAGGAACAGGGGCAGCGTGCCTGCCTTCCCAGGTCCTGGTGTCACTCTCTGGACAGACTGGGTGCACCACGGCCCCCTCCTGGCCCTGATCACTCACCTTCTCACTCTGCAGCTCACAGTGGTGTAAAAGCAGCTCACAAGCCTTGATGCGCTTCCGGATCATCTCTTGCTTGGAGGCTGACAGGAGGATACCCCTGGGGTCGAGGGTCCCGATGATGTCGAACCACACAGGGCAGCCTTCGTAATCATAGCCACACAGACCCCCTGAGTCATACCGCTGGATCACCTGGACACGGGGGTGGGTCCTCACTCAAAACAGCCCATTGGGCCACATTCCAACTCCATTAGGTTGCAGGGTGTAGCAGGGCAAGGAGTCGGGGGGACATCAGATGGCCAGGGGGTGCTGTATGAGGCTCACCTCTGAGGGCTGCCAGGTGAGGATGTTGTCCAGGTCCTGCTGCTTTCGGAACTCAGCGTACTGTGGAGACAGGACAGGACCTGCCCCAAAGGCCTCAAGGGCACACCGGGCAGCAGGCTGGGCCCCTCTGCCCACAGCTACCAAGATCCTGCCAGAGCATCCCCAGGCTCACAGAAGTGGGGGCAGGGGTGCCAGGAAGCGGGGCCTGAGGGTCCCAGTCTGATGAAAAAGGGATCCAAGGAGGGGAAGAAACATGAAAACTGGATGGGAGCGGGGTCCCCACCTGTCCCCTGGGGTACAGCATGTAGGAGGAGGCAGGTCCCTCAACAGAACGGGCCTCACCTTCCGGAGCATGTCCTCAGATTTCTGTAGGTCAAAGTTCCGAGCTGCAAGGAGAGTTGGGTAAGAGGAAGCTTGAGGCCAATTTGGGAACAAGCAATTCTCTCTGAAGGTTTGTAAGGAAATCGTGGGGATAACCCCGACTCTTGTCTTGACACCCCAAGGATACACTGGGAGTCTGGAAATTGTTTTTAAAAGCAAGGCCCTTTACTCCTCTAGAAGACTGATCTAGTCCATCAGACAGGCTTGGGCTTGAATTCTAGTTTTACCCTTTTATTTGCTGTGCAAACTTGAACAAGCCACTTCCTGTCTCTGAGTCTTCATTTTGAAAATCCCCCGTTGCTGGGCCTCCCTGGTGGCACAGGGGTTAAAGTCTCAGCTCTATCAAGCTGTCACCAGCCACTGCGGCATGAGTTCAATCCCCAGCCAGGGAGCATGGTGCAGCAGACCTCTCCTGCCTCGCCCGCTGCTCCCCTCAGCAGTGTATTTCAGTTGATCTGCCTGTTCTGCTCCCCACTCTGTCTCTGGTGAATCCTCTCACCCCCACACCTCTGGCCTGTACCCCATTTCTTATATGCACAAATAAATCTTTAAAAAAATCAATCACCCATTGCTTTGGGTGTCCCTGAGAGCAGTGACCTTTGGAACTGGGCATATCCCTAGAAGCTACTAAGAACTGCTACCAAAAAAACCCTGAGTCCTATGGGGTGTGGGATCTTAAGTCAAGAAGGACTCACACCCCCTTTTGCAGCTGTCCATGTCCCTGCCTTTGTGCCTCAGCCCATGTCCTTCAGCGTGAATCTAACAGTATACAGAGGAATTCGTCAGGCGGTGGGCCTCTGATGGGATTTCAAATGGGATATTGGGTTAGGGATTTTCAAATAGGAGGGGATGCCACCAGGTTTCCTCTGCCTGACTAGAAACCATCTCCAGAAAAAACCACCAAGGCCACCAGCTCCACCTTGATTATCTCCCATGATGGCAAGTTCATTACTTCAGCAGGTCACACATTCCATTCCTCAGCAGCTCTGACAGAGCTCGACTCTACCCAGAATAATTGCAGCTCCATTGTCAGAGATCAAAGAATAAATGTAACCACTTGTCAACAGAGAAACTGCAAAAATCTGAGGATAAGCCATCAAGTTTACTGTCCAATCATTTCTCTGGTCTATATAGTTATTAAAATCACCTTCTGGGGCCTCCCTGGTGGCACAAGAAGTTAAGACATAACCTATGAAGCTATCTGCAGCCTCTGCAGCACGAGTTCGATCCCTGGCCAAGGAACTACTCATATGGCGCAGCAGACCTCTCCTGCCTCATCCGCTGCTCCCCCCAGCAGTGTATTTCAGTCAATCTGCCTGTTCTGTTCCCCACTCTGTCTCTGGTGAATCTTCTCACCCCCCACACCTCTGGCCTGTACCCCAGCTCTTGTATGCATAAATAAATCTTAAAAAAAAAAAATAAAATCACCTTCTGTATCATGTTTCCAATATAACTTTCTGTGATGATGGAAATGTCCTATATCTGGGCTGTGTATGTGGCTTTTGAGCACTGGAAGCATGGCTAGCGGTACCGAGAACCTGAACTTTTCATTTAATTTTAATAATTAAATGTGGCTAATGGCTACCAAAACTGAACAGCAGTTCTATATACTTCATCAATTTTAAGATTTTTGCTGTACAGATCGTTGTGTGTTTTCACATAAATTTCTGGATATTTTACAGTTTTATTTATCCTTTTAGGGGTTTTGTTGCTATTTTGAATAGCATCTGATTTTTCATTATATTTCATGGCTATATATTGCTATGATATAAATGCTTTTGATTTTTGTCTTTAGCATTTTTGCAAAACTTTCTTCTTAGTTCTAAGCTTTTCTGTAGATTCTGTTGGTTTTCAAGGGAGGTTAAGTCGGTCATCGGCAAATATTTGAACTCTTCCCTTCTAGCCTTTATATCACGGGTTATTTTTTCTTTCTTTGTAACACTAGCAAAGGTCTCCAGTTCTATGTCGAAAAAGTAATGTTGACTGATGTCATCCTTTCTTTGTTCCTGATTTCAAAGAAAATGCATCTGAAATTCTCAAGTGTAACGTTTATTGTTAAGATTTTTGCTGCATAAACATTGCTAGCCAAGGAAATTCCCCTCAATTCCTAGATGGGAAGATTTATTTTGGTTTTTTTTCCTTATAAGAAGGATTTGAACCTCTGCAAATGTTTGCTCTGTCTTCATTGAACTAGTCACATCATTTTTCATTTAACTGTATTAGATATTCTGTGACACTGACAGACGTTTCCTGATGTTGAACTTTTTTTGCATGCCTAAGATAAAACCCCCTTGATCACATTATATAATGTTAAGACTCTATTGGATTCTATTATGCCATATTTTATTTAGCCTTCTTTATTTTCACCTTACTAAAATGAACCTAGAATTTTTTTCTTTTCCTGATCTTGCTTTGGCATCAAACTTATACAAGCCTCAGAAGGTAACTTTCACTTTCACACATTCTAAAACAGCTTGAACAATTTCCATATGTAGGAACTAGCTAGTCTTAAGACTGGAGGAATTCACCCATGGAGCCACTGGGGCCTGAGTTTTGGGGAATGGGGGTTATTATTTAAATGACTTTATTTTTCCTTTGAAACTTTGTATTGCTGGATCTTGGCCCTACATATGTATTTTAGGAATACATCAATTTCACTTAGATTTTCAAATTTGTTAGTATATAATTATACATAATATTCTTTTCTTGGCTTTAAAAAAATAATTGTGGTATTTATAGGAGATTCTTCTATTGAGAACCAGAGTGTGTGGCTTCTTTTCCAATAGACAATGGTTTGGATGTGGCTAATATGTCCTCAGAGATTTTTTTTTTTTTAAGTGTATTTTTTTGTTTGTTTGTTTTGTTTTTATTTATTTATTTGTTTGTTTTGTTTATACAAGCACGGGGTACAGTCAGACGCGCGGGAGGGTGAGAGAATTCACCAGAGCCAGAGCGGGGAACAGAGCAGGCAGAAGGACCGAAGTACACTGCTGAGGGGAGCAGCGGGCGGCAGGAGAGGTCTGCGCGCCATGTGGGACCCTCCTCCAGTGGCCGGGGAGCAGCCGGGGATCGAACCGGCGCCTCAGAGGCCGCGGGCAGCTTCGCAACCCAGCGCTCAACCGCTGCGCCACCGGGGAGGCCCTGTCCTCAGAGATTTTTTTTAGTAGCATCTACGTGCCAGGCTGGGGAGTATGGGGCACGCATAATCCCTAGTCTCTTGCAGCTGGCATCCACATGGGAGAAATCACACAGACATGGGATGGGGAGAAAGAAAAACAAGGGAAGTGACTTCAGAAGAAGGTGTCTGGGAAGACCCCTCTCCATCCAGCCTGAGGAGATGCTGAGAGTCCCAGCCCTGGGATCACTTTCCCCTCAAGCCTGTGCCTTGAGCTGACAAGGCAGGGCGTGGAGGATTAAAGCTAAAGGGGATGGCCCATGTCAGCAGGTCCACGAAACGAAGTGGGAGACTTCGGCTATGCGGCACCCTCTCCCAGTTTAGGTGCCTTTTCTTCCCTGTGACTGGTAGCCTGTGATTTCACTCTCTCACCAAAGACACACCCAAAAAGACTCCAAAGGAGGAAAGGGCCTCTTGCTGTATCAAGAGGATTCGAGAAATCTACTGTCCCAAATCTTCCTGTAGCCCAGGTGGAAGGAAATGACATGAGAACAACTTGTTAGAACAGTAACTGTCAGAGCCAAGGGAGACAAAGGAGACATGAAATGTCAGATGGGCCCTGACACATGCTGAGAAAGATCCAGAAAGCATGGATTTTAGTTAATAATTATGTATCAACACTGGTTCATTAATTGTCCCACATGTACGGGAAGAATTAAAATTTTAATGACGGGAGAATGGGTGCTGAGTGCATGAGACCTTTCTGTACCACCTTCACAACTTTGATGTAAATCTCAAATTGTTCTAAAAATCAACTTTTCAATCTAAAATTGAAAAAAAAATAACCAAATGGAGCAGAAGGAAGGGTTTGCACCATACACACCCGTGACTCGTGTCTCACTAAAGGCATCGTGAAGGTAAGAGCTGATATCACACCCATTACACAGAAGGGGAAAGTGAGGCAGAGAGTCGGGGGGTGGCTTGCCACAGCACCCCCTGACACACAGTGGGGACCTTGCAGGCTTGCCTGATTCCAAGGCCGCGTTCTATCCCCGCACCATGTGTGAACTTTCCCTCTAGCCTGGCTGCTGACTTCTCTCCTGGCTGAAGTTCAAAATCCACTCCGTCGGGTGTGCTGGGTTGGTTCCTGTTATTCTAATTATTTTGTACGTCTGTGGCAATTCCTAGAAGAAACGCCTTTTCTACCTTTAATTAAATCCACTTCCTAAAGTACTTACAAGGCACCTGCTTGGTGCCAGCTCCCCCAAGAGGATGACACAGCCCTGTCCTCCAGGAAACTGAGAAGCAGCGACGGCAGGTCCTAAAGGCAGAGTGCAGCGACCCTGACCATCCAACCCAGGGCCTGGCCAGGCTGCCATCCTGAGAACCTCCCGAGAGTTCTCTGACCTCAGCTTGACCTGCTCCCAAGGGGTGGCAGGCACCACACCCTCTCATTTAACACAACAGCCTGTGGGGTGGTGGCCTCACCCCACTTTGCAGATGAAAAGAGTGAGCTCAGCACAGGGTCTGTGCCAGGCTAATTTCAAGGGGTGCCCAGATTCTAGCCCGAAGCGGGCTGATTCCAAAGCCCATATTTTTGGCCCCCAAAGTCTCCCATCTGCTTCATGGAGACCCTCTCATTCCCCTTCCCCTCCTGGAGCTGAACCTTGAGGCCTCACCTCGGAGCCAGCGCAGGAGGAAGTAATCATCAGTCTTGGGCAGGGTGGGCAGCAGGTCCTGGAGATTTTTCCGGAACTGAGGGGGGGTATGACAGTCAGATCCCAGAGCCGAACCCCTCTCCCAACACTTCCTACTCTCACCTTGCTGGGGACCCTGCATGGTGGGGACCGCACAGTTAGCAGCAGGTGCTCAGACCACTTTGGACTTGGGGATGGGCACCTACACCCCCAGCCTACACGGTAGGAAGAGTCAGGTCCCTCTCAAACATAGGGGGTGCTCTGCACCCAAGACCTTCACTCTATTTCTGAGGTCTGAGGCGGAGAGGGTCTTGCCATCCTGTTTTCATAAAGATCCCTGGTGAATACAGCACCAGCCAACCAGCACATATTAGGGATATTGCCTCTGATACTGCATCTTGAGGGTCTGGAGTTGAAAGCAGGTTATGAAACCTCTCTGAGTCTCAGTTTCCTCATTAGTGAAGCAGGAATAATGGCACACCAGAGCTAATCAAGAGTCTGTGCAACAGCAAAAGAGACAATAACAAAAACAAAGAGAAACCCCACCGACTGGGAGAACATTTTTGCACACAACACTAATGATAAAGGACTGATCACAAAAATCTACAAAGAGCTGATGAGACTCAACAAAAACAAAGAAAGTAATCCAGTCAAAAAATGGGCAGAAGAGCTAAAAAGAAACTTCTCTGAAGAGGAAACGCAAATGGCCAACAGGCATATGAAAAAATGTTCAACATCACTTGTAATCAGGGAAATGCAAATCAAAACTACCATGAGATACCATCTTACACCAGTGAGAATGGCACATATTAAAAAAAACAGCAACAACAAATGTTGGCGAGGTTGTGGAGAAAAAGGAACTCTCCTGCACTGTTGGTGGGAGTGCAAACTGGTCCAACCACTATGGAGAGCTGTGTGGAGATTTCTGGACCTACTAAACATAGAGCTTCCATATGATCCAGCAATTCCACTCCTAGGTATTTACCCAAAGGACACAGAAACATCAATTCCAAAGAGCACCTGCACCCCTATGTTTATAGCAGCACTGTTCACAATAGCTAAGCTTTGGAAACAACCCAAATGCCCAAAAATAGATGACTGGATCAAGAAGATGTGGAACATCTACACCATGGAATATTACTCAGCATTCAAAAAAGATAAACACATGCAATTTGCAGCAACATGGATGGAGCTGGAAGGGATCATGCTCAGCGAAATAAGCCAGAAAGAAAAGGAAAAATATCGGATGGTCTCACTCATAGCAGGAATGTAGAAAACTTAAATAAGAGACCAGGAAAAAGAATAACCATAAGAAAGTAAAAATCAATCAACAAACAACTATGAACCAGAGACACTCTATGGGGGGTGGGGGGTGGAAAAAGGATGGATTGGGGTCAAAATAAGGGGGTTGCAATTGTATGGGGAATATAAAAATAAAATTTAAATTAAAAAAAAATTAAAAAAAAGAGTCTGTACAAGTAAAGCACTGGCTTGGGTCAGGTACCAGAAAAATGTGGGTAATAAGCACACGGACTGCCGGGAGCCCTGGCCAATGGCACCTTCATGGAAATAACCAGAGGAAACAACCAGAGCTTGGAGAGGCTGAAAAGAGCCAGGGATGCCCTCATCCAGGGCCGGGGCTGAGGAGGGGCAGTGGTTAAGGGGGTAGGCTGACCCAATGGGTGCCATTTCACACTGGCAGATTTGGGGGAAGCTGCTGTGACTCTGGGTTTGAGATTGAAGCTCAGGATGCAACAGAGAGGAGATGCCGCTTCCTGGGGACTAAGGGAGCTGAGGGCAAGGCCTGCAGGGGAACCTGGGAATCAGAATTCGGGTCTAGAAACGCTGCTAGGAAGCAGTCTCGATGGCCATCCCCAAGCCGCCTTTGGTTTTATGGCTGACGTTGAAAAAGTGGAACTCCTGCATGGCTCATGGAATTAACAATGAACACTCTGCACACATCTCCAGTGTCAACGGGTAAGATGGGCAAAAGCACCTGATCTAATAGTCCCCAGCCCCACAGGCAGGCCCCTGGATTTTTTGCACATGGAACAGTCGTGGCCTCTGGGCTCCTGAAGAAGCTTTTTTGGGGGAGGGAGGACAGTACCACATAGGTAACATTAAGTCTGCAGCCCATAGTCCTTCCAGCTGGAAGCTACTGGAACCTCGAAATTCAGGGTGTGCCCTGAGGCAGTACGGGCAAAGGTTACAAGCCCCTTTCCTATAGAGGAAACCGAGGCTGAGCTGCAGAGGCAGGGTCTTCCCCAAGGATGGAGCAAAGAAGTGGCAAGACCAGGAGGAGTCCATGTGCCCCCCAATCTGAAGGACACGCTACCCTTGGAACACAAGTAAACGAAAAATCAAATAAAAGAGAAAGCCACTAGGCAGGGGTCGGGAGGGACCTGGAGTAACTTGGAGAAGACACGTATGCGGGTGACATAAAGACAAACAGCACCTGGCAGTGTGTCCAAAGGCGGTCAAAACCAGGCTTAGGGAAAAGCTAGAAGGAAATCTCCCAAGTATGGTTGTCGGGAGCTCTGGGACCATGGGGGACCTGTACCCTTTCTTCCTCCTCTCTCTCTTTTTAAAAAATAATGAACATTCATTTAACTAGTGGAAAAAATAAGAATAAACTGTTTATGATCTTGAAAGTCCCATTTACATTCTCCATCCCTGTTCTCCCGCCGAGGCCGGGGCCCATTCTCCTAGCGTCAGGGGCGTCATGAGGCCATCACCAGTGGAGAGGGAACGGGGTCACCTGGGGGGCCCTTCTTGCCTCTACTAGGAATTCATGCAGGGCTGCTCTCTTTCCTCTGGGTCTTCATTCCTCCCCAGAAGACCCTTCCCCAGGGCAGAGGCCTCTAAGTAAGTCATTCTCCACAAGTTGAGGCTGCCTTTTCACAAGCCCAAAGTGTGGGCCAGGGCTGTTACCTGCCGTCCCCAGCCCCAGCCCCTCCTTTCACTGTCTTCAGTCCCTGGCCATCTGCAAACTGAGCTCAGGCTATGGCACCTAAGACCTGTATATACTCCCCCTGGCCAAGATCAGGAGACTCCCCAGGTGCAGCCTGAAGGAGTGTCTGGAAATCACCCCAAACTGTTCCACTCTCTAATGAGAAGTTACCAACAGGGAGAAGGCTGGGGCCCGGGGGAAGGCGGAAAGCAACGGAGAGAAACCAGACAAACAAATGTTGCAATCTGGGCACAGATCTGGGAGTCTGTCAGCCCAGAAGCCCCATGGCAGTGCCCTTCACCCCTGGCCCCACACCCAAGGAACAAGCGCCAGGGCTCCCTGTCTGGGCGCGCACCGGTGGAAAGCTGGATTTGGACCCAGCGTGGCCCGAAGAAGGGCTCCTGCCCAGCGTCCCCTGCACGGCCACTGGTGACTGCGCGCTGGAGCTGGAGGCTGGAGAGGGGCGCTCTCCAGCGTCCCCCTCCCGTTGGAACAATGGGGTGGGCAGCCTCAGGCTGCTCAGCCCCTTCCCAAGCCAACCCGCTGGCGAAGCCCCTCACCCTGGTCAGCGCCTCCTGTTGCTGGGGGCTCAGGTCCCCGACTCGGCCGCTCATGGTGTCCGCGGGCGCAGGGGCGCGGGGCGCAAGTGTGCAGGACTCACCGGCAGGCCCACAGTGTGACCTCTTCTCAGCCGCCTGGCTTGGCAGAGACAGGTCAGATGTCAGTCCCGCCCCCACGGAAGAGCGCCAGTTCTGCCCCGCCCCGCCCGACAGAAAAAAAATACAAAAAAAAAAAAAAAAACCCGCCCTAAGACTCCCCTTGGGAGGTTTCACTAACCTTGTTGACATTCACCCTACCCCGAGCAGGCAGGTGACCGTGACCGCCCGTGGAGGGTCCCAGAGCAGACTCCAGTGAGGGGCAGGCATCCCCCCAACCAGACCTCCTCATCCCAAGGGCCTCATCCCAAGACACCACTGCCCCAGGGGCCGCAGGCCGGGGTTGGTGGGGCATGGGGGACATATGTGATATGTGGGCTATCCATTAATAAATGGATGACAGAGAGCCTCCCTGGTGGCACAAAGGGTTAAACACCACACTATGAAGCAATCCGCAGCCTCTGCAGCACGAGTTCCATCCCTGGCCAGGGAGCAACTCACATGGCACAGCAGACCTCTCCCGACTAGTCCCTTGCCCCCCTCAGCAGTGTATTTCAGTCAGTCTGCCTGTTCTGCTCCCCACTCTGTCTCTGGTGAATCCTCTCACCTCCCCCCATATCTGGCCTGTACCCCAGTTCTTGTATGCATAAATAAATAAATCTTTAAAAAAATAAAATAAAATAAATGGGTGAAGGAGATGTGGTATATATTCCACACCGTGGAATACTATTCACAAGGAAAGCTGAAATGCTATCATTTTCTGCAAAACCTAGAAAATTTGTATGGTCAAGTAAGTCAGAATGACAAAGACATATACTGGACATTTACATAACCAGGGATTTAAAATAAAATACTTACAAAAACTAACAGCCCTTAATAAGAGGAGTGAGGGCTCCGAGGATGGGGAAGGGAGAAAGGGACAAGGAGAGAGCAGGGATGGTGGTGGGGAAAATAATAAATGACAGGTGGGCAAGTTTCAGGGAAACATCAGGATTGCTTCTGAGCAAAATGGACAAACTATAAACCTGGCTCAGTCCTGTAGGTGGGCCCCAGGCCTTTCTGCCCACAAGCCCCGTCCCCCAGCCTTGAACACAGGCTGCACCCTGTCTCAGTGTGCACTAGCTAATAAGAGAGCCCTTATGTGCAAAATGGTTCCAGTCCTCAAGTCGGTTAGTAGGATTAGAAAAGATGATTCACTATGGGTTAACCTGGCATTGCACACGAAGTATTTGCTGTTAGGAATATTGTTTCATAATTATTGTGACTGTCACCAGAGAAACAAACTGCAGAGGTGGGGATCTGGATGGGCCCCAGGGTAAGCTCCTGGATAGAACCCACGTTCCCAAGACCAGGGTGGGAGGTGGCAGTGGATAGATGGAAGTCCTAGATGCAGTAAGGGAAGGGTGGGGAGGCCAAGGGGAGATGGGTGGTTAACAAAGCTGTCAAAGATGGCATTTAAGAGCCAGGCAGAGGTAGCTAGAGAAGGCGAGAAAACACAAGTTGGCTGGGTATGAATTTTCAAGTGAGGAGCAGATAAGAGGTAAAGATAAAGGAGGTGGTGAATCAGGTCACAGGAACCTTTCCCTCTTCCCTCCCTTGGTGCCAAACCAAGATCTAGTGGCAAATCCGGTGGCTACATGTCATGGGTGACTGTTGAGAGAGGGAAACATGGCTTGTCCCTATCACCTATGGAGCTGTGCTGTGAGTATAAAATTCATGCTAGATTTCAAAAGCAATACCAAAAATAATTAATTCCTTATACTGATTACTTTTTTAAAAAAAGATTTATTTTATTTATGCATATAAGACCTGGGGTGCAGGCCAGAGGTGCCAGAGGTGTGTGAGAGGATTCACCAGAGACAGAGTGGGGAGCAGAACAGGGAGATCTACTGAAATACACTACTGAGAGGAGCAGCGGGAGAGACAGGAGAGGTCTGCTGCACCATGTGGGTCGGCTCCCTGGCCGGGGATCGAACTCGTGTTGCAGTGGCTGCCAATAGCTTCAGAGTGCTGAGACTTAACCCTTTGTGCCACCAGGGAGGCCCTGATTGCATTTTAAAATGATAATATTTTTGGTGCTACTGCCATACATTAGATATGTTATTAAAATAGATTTCAGGGGGCCTCCCTGGTGGCACAGGGATTAAAGACAGCACTATCAAGCTATCTCCAGCCACTGCAGCACGAGTTTGATCCCTGGCTGGCCAGGGAGCTAACCCACATGGCACAGCAGATCTCTCCTGCATCACCTGCTGCTCCCCTCAGCAGTGTATTTCAGTAGATCTGCTTGTTCTGTTCCCCACTTTCTCTGGCGAATCCTTTCACCCCCAACACCTCTGGCCTATACCCCAGTTCTTGTATGCTTAAATAAATATATCTTAAAACAACAAAAAAATAGATTTCATCTGTTTCTTCTTATCTTCTTATAATTTAGAATGAATTTTAATTGATAAAGTTTACTTTTTGGATTCACAGCAAAGTTGAAAGCAAAGCCTTCTCCCATCTCTCCCCTGGCCCCACCCACACACAGCCTCCTCCACCTTGGCCACCCTCCACTGTCCACTAAAGCAGTGTGTGGGTGTGTGGACACATCGTTATCACCCAAAGTCCATAGCTTACATGAGTGTTCATGCCTGATGCTGTACATCCTCGGGGTTCAGACAGGTGTGTAGGGACATATACTCACCTCTCGTATCATACAGAACAGTTCACCACCCTAGCATTCCTCTGTGCTCTATCCCTTTTACTTTAAAAAAATGTATCTATCCAAACATTTTAAATCCTATGTGAGACTCACCTTTGAGGCTTGCACTATTTCATTGGCATGCACTATTCTAGAGGCATTTTAGAGCTTTTTTAAAAATGAAATTACAAAAATCTAAAAGCAAAAGTGACATGTAGCATGTCTGTGGGAGGGCATTGTCTGCACTTAGAGGCTATGGCAGAAGTCACAAAATAATAATTGATTTGACTGCATAAAAAATCTATAAGATGTGAAATAAGACTGAATTACGGCAATAAGCCAGAAGTTGCTAATGTGAATTTTGGGAAATAAGTAACAAAAATTGACATCTTTATATAGAATGCATGCAAATTGAGAAGAAAAATAGTAAGGCACCAAGAAAGGACAAAGGACTCAAATTATCAATTATTCCACACCAAGTTATCAATCACATCTGGATCAAGTATTCTGATATTACTCAATTATCAGAAAAGAAAATATACATGAGAAATAATGAAGTGGATAAATGCTCAACCTTCAGTTGATCAAAAAAATGTGCATACAAGCAGCAAAAAGTTTTTTTTTCCCTCTGCCAAATCAACAACAAAGGAAACAACACACACACACATAACATTTTTTAAAAAATGATAATATAGTTAGAAATTGGTGAAATAGAGACTTTGATACATTCATCATTGGCAGAATGATAAATTGGCTAAGCCTTTCCAGAAAAGTACTTGAAGAGTACACATTAGGATCCCTCAATTGTTTATCATTTTGTCTAATAAGTCAAATTAGCAGAAAGTGCTTTGGGCTTTAAGTTCTGCACTGTTCATAGGGAAGCTGGAGACAATTTTCATTAAGACTATGATGCTTAATGTGATTGATGAAGAGTTTATGACATGGAAAAAAATGCCATGAAACAATTTAGGAGCTCTATAGGCGCTCATTATAAATGCAGTATGTTTGCAGAATGTCAAACACAATCCATTCAATAAAAGAAGGGCAGTCAAGACAAATTTGCCCCTTAACTTTTCCCAGTCTCTGAACAGTGAGAAAAGTCATATTTTTTAAATGCCACAAGTACCAAGTCACCTCCAAAGAGAAGCCTTTATTTAACTAACCAACAATTTCAAGTGCTTTCTATGGGCCAGACCTTTTGTAAATATTAGCTCAGCATTAGCCAATACCCAGGTAATAGGAATCACATAGGTAACTAAATTCTCTAGAAGCCACATAAAAATGCTTAATTTTAATAAAAATTCTATTTAACATAGCATAACCAACATATTATCATTTCAAGTAATCAATCTGATTAATAAATGAGATTGATTATCGTGAGTTTTTTTTTTTTTTTTGGTACCAAGTCTTTGAAATCTATATTTAATATAGCACATTTCAGTTCCAACTAGCCACCTTTCACATGCTCCATAAGCCACATGTGGTGTTATGAGTTGAATTGAGCCTCCTCCCAATCCATATGCTGACGACCTAATCCCCAGTACCTAAGAATGTGGCCTCACTGGAAAACAGGGTCACGGCAGATGAAATTAGCTAAGTTCATACCAGAGTGGGGTGGGTCCCTAATCAGATATGACTGGTATCTTTATTAAAAGGGGAAATTTGGACACACACACACACACACACACACACACACACACAGAACACCAGATAAAGATGAAGGCAGAGATCAGGGTGATGTTTCTATAAGCCAAGGATTGTCCAGAAGCCAGGGGAGAGGCATGGAACAAACTTCTTCCCCATCACTTTTAGAGGAACCAAGATCAACACCTTGATCTTGAACGTTGAGTGACAAGAGCTGTGAGAGAATAAATGTTGTTTAAGCCACTCAGTTTAGGGCAGTCTGTTCCAGCAGCCCTAGCCAAGTAATTCAGGTGGGCAGTGTTAGATCATTTATTTATTTTTTTAAAAATTTTTTTAAAGATTTGTTTATTTATGCATATAAGCACTGGAGTACAGGCCAGAGGTGTGGGAGGTGAGAAGATTCACCAGAGAGAGAGTGGGGAACAGAACAGGCGGATTAACTGAAATGCACTGCTGAGGGGAGCAGCCGGTGAGACAGGAGATTCTGCTGCACCATGTGGGTAGCTCCCTGGCCAGGGATTGAACTCTGTGCTGCAGTGGCTGCGGATAGCTTCATAGATTGCATCTTAACCGCTTGTGCCACCAGGGAGGCCCTGTGTTAGCTCATTTAATTCCCCGACACATTCTTAGT